GTCGTACGTTTGTAAAGGAAATCACCCTAAAATTTGAGATTCTCAGCTTCCGCGATTGCCGACATAACAGTTTCCTTGCTGAAACTTTCACGGGGCTGTAAGTGATGCTCGGGCGCACGGGATGCTGAATTTAAAATTGCAGGACTGTATGTAGACAGAAGACATTTCCATAAAATTTCAGCTTCCTGGCTTTTATGGTTCACGGGATAATAATTCCCCCGCCAAAATTTTCACGGGGCTGTAGGTGGTGCCCGGATGCGTAGGAATGCTGAATTTGAATTTGCGAGGTCGTGCGTCAGTAGGGGTCATCACTCCAAAATTTTAGCTTCCTGGATCCCGTGGTTCCCGTGGTAATAACTTATCCGCAAAAATTTTCACGGGGCTGTTCGTGTTACTCGCAGGTATGGGGAGGCTGGATTTCAATAGGCAAGGTTGAGCGTGGGCAGAGGGTCATTACCGTAAAATTTCAGCTTCGTATGTTCAGTGGTTCCCGTGATAATAACTTCACCCGCCAGAACTTTTACGGGACCATACGTGTTACCCGTGGGTACGGGGAAGCTGAATTTAAATTTGCAGGGTCACACGTGGGTGGGGAACATTTTACCCGCGGGTACGGGGAAGCTGAATTTAAATTTGCGGGGTCACACATGGGTGGGGAACGTCCGGCCGTACACGTTACCCGTGGGTACGGGGAAGCTGAATTTAAATTTGTGGGGTCACACGTGGGTGGGAAACGTTACCCTATTCAGCTTCCTAGCTTTTGTGGTTCCCGAGTTGAAAGTTGCGGACAAGTTGCTGCGGACACACACACAGACAACCTCGTGATAATATCCGTCTTGTACTGCTGTTAGACAATACAAAACGCATAAAAAGGCATCAGTCCAACTATGCAGATCTGGTTCGGATCTACTTGGAGACATAATTCGATTTTTTTTTGGGGTGGAAATGTTAGGGCTTTAAGTTTTTACAGCGTCTCGGGGAATAAACTCGCAAAATTTCGGCTTCCTGGCTTTTTCGGTCTCAGAATTCAAATATTCTGACAGGCACAGAAACACATAGGCAGACATTTTATACTGCAAGTTTCAAAAAAGACTCTTACATGCGCATAAACAAACCAAAAAAGAAGTTTAAAAAAAAACCATATTGCCAGCGAGGAAACGAAAGAAATGAGGGAGGAAAACTGTTGAAACAAATAAATGTGAAAAAACAGGCAGTGCATGTCCCTGACCGGAAAAATCAGTGTGGGTCTATAAAGGCCGGTTGTATTTCATCCGAAGTTTTCCGGCGATTGGTCTTTTGTTCAGTGGGCTTT